CCTGTCCTAACTACAGATACTAACACTATGTACAGCGCTGCTTAAAAGTTTATGAACCCTTTTGAATTTTCAATATTTCTGCATAAATATGACCTAAAATGTGATCTGTTCTCCACACAGATCCTAAAACTAGATAAAGAGGACCCAATGAAACAAATGAGTCAAAAACATTATACTTGTTCCTTTTATTCATTGAGAAAAACGATCCAAAGCTACATATTTGTGTGTGGCAAAAGTATGTGAACCTCTATGAGTATCAGTTCATAGGAAGGAGAAGGTGAAATTAGAGCCAGGTGTTTCAATCAATGGGATGATAATCAGATGTGAGTTTAAGAGATCCTGTCTTATTTAAAGAACAGAATTTTGGGTATTCACTATCAGAGTCTGATCTTTACAATACAGGATGTGGAAGAGTGTCATGGCTTGAACAAAGGAGATTTCTGAGTACTGCCAAAAAAGAGTTGTTCATGCTCACTAGCTGGAAAAGGTCACAAAACTTTTTCCAAAGAATTTGGACTCCACCAGGCCTCTCTTGCATTGGTGAATGTCAGTGTTCATAAGACCACCATCAGGAGAACACTGAAAAACAATGGTGTGCATGGCAAGAGTGCAAGGAGAAAGCCACTACTTTCCAAAAAAGATAATGGTTGCCTGTCTACAGTTTGCAAAAGACCATGTGGATAAGCCAGAAGGCTACTGGAAGAATGTTCTGTGGACAGATGAGACCAAAATAGAACTTCTTGGCTTGGATGAAAAGTGTTACGTTTGGCAAAAGGCAAACACTGCATTCCAGCGTAAATGAAACATGGTGGTGGCAGTATCATGGTTTGGGCCTACTTTGCTACTTCTGGACCAGGGCAGCTTACCATCACTGATGGAACTATGAATTCTGAATTGTAACAGCAAATTCTACAGAAAAATGTCAGGGTATCTGTCTGTGAACTGAAGCTCAAGAGAAAGTAGGTCATGCAGCAAGACAACAACCTAAAACACACAAGTTGTATGACCAAAGAATGATTAAAGCAGAAGAAAGTTAATGTTTTGGAATGGTCAAGTCAAAGTCCTGACCTTCATCCTATAGAAATATTGTGGAAGAACCTGAAGTGGGCAGTTCATGTGAGGAAGCCCACCAACATCCCTGAGTTAAACCTAGTCTGTTGAGAAATGGGCTAAAATTTCTCCAAGCCCATGTGCAGGACTGATCAAGAGTTACGTTTTAGGTCATCTTTATGCAGAAATATTAAAAATTCAAAAGGGTTCACAAACTTTTAAGCACCACTACACCATAAACAAAGGCATTTATTGTGCCCATATACTGCCTCCTTTCACAACATTGGAAGACAACAATCTGCTTTTTGTTATCTGTTTCTTTTTGAGGGTCACAGTTCCAGCTGCCTGCTTTTTTCTTTCATTATGTCACCCACGCTTAAACCACTTCTAACACTATACATGTCGTTAAAGCTGTACAACTGAGTGACACTATTTCAACTGAGGGCTGCTCATCAGGTGTATTTCGGGTCCTCATGCACTGTAACAACCATGGGACTTCCTCTACGTTCCACTGGCATACAAGACACTGTAGATAACATTATGACAGACATTATTTTGAGTGAAAGAACAGATGCCAAGTGGTTTCTAAACTTTTCATGCCATTAACCTTTTTTTTGTAAATTGCTTTAAGCATTCTAAAGAAGAAACAGGATATGAACATTTGAAAACCAACAACAAATAAATGTAATGGCATAGGAAATAGCTCCTGTATGTTCCATTTCTACAGTTAAGGGTAATTAATCTAAAATCTTATGAAAATCAAACCATCCAGTGAATCTATCTAGAATCCATCAGTATTCAAATAAGATATGCATTTCTTGTACTGCCATATAACTATAATAAATATTTTAAGAAAATACAGATTTCTAATAGTAAATACCTTGTAAGAACTCTTATTGTACTATGTCTAATTAGACCTGTTATATACCCCTATATCTTATGTATTTTATCATCCAAAATACATACATTTATTACTAAATTGTTATATTTTAACATTATAGGTTTTTTTACTTGTTTCATTTTATCATTATGTGTTTTAATTTAGAAAATAAAACTATGAACTCAAAACCTATGATTTCCTGTTTACCTAAGATGGATATACTTCTAGAATGATACTTTCACTTTACCTGTCAGTTAATATGATAGGGGTATCCAATTTCTCTATAGGAAGCTTATGATTTTCAATTAGTTTTTTGAAGAGAAGGGCTTCTTCTATTCTGTATGGATTTAGCATCTCTATTTTTTCCTCAGAGGCAAGTATCCATGCATCAGGAAAATTCAGAAGATGGATTAAGCAAGGTTCCTCTTTATCTGACTCTTTCTGTTCAAGCCTTTGAAGTTTTTGCTTGAATGCATCCATGGAGAAAGGCAGTTGTACAGTTTTTACTGCTTGGTAATTATGCTTCTTTCCTATTTGTGAGTTAAAAAGCGTGTCCAATTTTTGCTGATTATTTAAGCAGTCTTTTAGTTTAATCTTGTGCCTTTTCTCTCTCTCCCTCATTGATGTTTGTATATTCTGACACATAGCTTTTCTGCTTTGCCTGTTGTATCGTTCCAGATCTCTGTCAGCTTTTCCCTCATATCTTATATACAGAAAGGGAATGGGAAAGAAGAGAGAGTACATGAAATGTTTTATCACACAATGTTGTAACAAATACATAATTTGTTGCTTTTCATACAGAAAACAATTTTCCTGTTTCATTTTAATACTTTTAGGTCTCATTAGGTCGCTACATTTTCAGTAACGATTCCTTTTTAATACAAGTACAGATAATATATTACAGCTACAGATCAATTATTTGGATTCATTTATTTCTATCAATAAAAAAAAAAGGATATGTCAGAATTTGTGTTCAGTAATAACGGATTGTAGCCAAAGTTCCCCACCAGCAGTGGAAGAGAACCAAAGACAAAATGGACCCCCTCCCCCATATATCTTACATGTAGGCAGAAACTAAGAAGGGCAAAAGGGAAAAAGCTTTTTGCATGAATTAATCCATTTGCATATTGCTGGATGCTGCCCACATCCTAATGCGCACATGAAGTAACTTTTCTCAAAAACATTATGCCTTACTAGTTCCTTGGGAGAGTTAGATCCAGAAAACCATGAAGTTCCTTCTCAGTACTATTTGCTGGCTATTCACAAAGCAAGGTATTAAACTGAACCTGTAATTGTAGCCATGCTTATCACAGAACACATCTTACCAGATTTTAAAAAAGCATTTATTTATTTGTTGGATTTATATCTAGCCTATTTTAAATTCTGTATAACTCGAAGTGGTGTACATAATACTCCCTTATTTCCTCCACAAAAATTATGAGGTAGATTGGGCTGAGTACAATTGATTTATTAGTGAAATACAGTATGAAGCTACATGCTCTCCTGAAATAAATATCACCTTCTAGCATTTAAATATTTGATAGATGGAGTTTATTATATGAGCATTATAACAAAGCTGCATCTAAAGAAACTATCATTTTAAAAATATTAGCTCCCAACAATACATTGTTCTGCTTCTTCCTAAATCAGTTTTTTTTTAAATTTTAAAATAAGTAGGAAAGTTTTATGTATGCATTTATTTAAAAAAATTATTCCATTTGATTAATAAACATCTCTATATGACTTGGGGCATAATGAAAATGTTAATTCTATTTAATCCATAGAATTGCACTGCTGTTGCTATATTTTTTAGAATTTTAATCCAAATGACTAGAAATCCAACAAAATTTAAAATATACTGTTAGTGTTTGAACTCATATTAAATGAGTTGCTGGAATCCCTTATAATAAAGTAAAACACTACATATGTACTGTCTACTTATGTATGAAATATTTTAGGTATTGCCTGTTTAGCAAATGTTAATTATAGATGCAAAATCTGAAGTACAAATTTTATGCAAGCATTTATATATAAAAAAAGTATATGTTTACTTGTGGGAAAACTGAAAAAGCAAGCCCTCTAAATAATTAACAGTAATTTAGAAATTTAAAGTTCAAACTAAACATGCTTCCATTCTATTTCTGGAAATAAGGTTCCATATTATTTTTGAATATGGTGAATCAACCAGGATGGAAACTGCTGACCAGTTTTGACACAGAAGTTAAGTTCAACAATCTTACTTCTTTTTCTCTTCCTCACTCAGCGAGTTCCACATTGCTTCCATTTTCAGCAGTAGTTTTTCTGAGTTTACTTTAGCAATTTCACTCAGCGAATCAGGAGAATGGTCTTGAACAAAAAGCTCAAATGCTGACATGGATTTCCTGATAATCTTACTGCTAATTAAGTCATAGGCTGTAATCTGACCCATTTTATCTTTTATCACATTTGTTTTTTTAACAGTTTGATTGTTACTTTCTTCTTGAAGTTTTGCTGGGTCATCATTTTTCTTTTGAGGTCTTACTTCACTCATATTTGGAATTAAAATCTGAACAGGTTCCAGATTTTCTTCTCTGGAATTTTTAAATGCGTTCCCCAGACTCCATTTATCAGCAGTGACTTCAGAAGAATCTGCAGAGATTATGGCTCTTTCTCGTTTTCCTGCTTCTTGAAAACAGTAATTTCCTGAATCACTCTTCATGCTATTTTCAGATTGAATGTCCATTACAATATTGTTATCTAGATTAAATATTACCTTATTCTGTTGGTCTTGACATGGTACATTATTTGGTTGGTCATCCTGAAATCTATCATCATGAGAAGACTTATATATTGTTTGATTGCCAACTAATTTGTTTTTCTGTATATTACCATTTTGTATGTCATTACTAAGTGAGGACAGTGAAGTACAAACAGGTGGTTCTATACTTGTATGGGATTGGGTTATAACTTCTTGTTCAGCTTCATTAACAATGTCTCTTGAGGTACTGTCAGTTGTATTCATTTCATAAGACACAGAGCTACTTAATGGTCCATATAGTGATATCAAACTCTCTTCAATAGCAAGACAGACAGATTCCTAAAGAAGAATGCAAGAAATAATTCAGTAAATAACTATATATTACTTATTGTTGCAGAACAATTTATTTACCCTCAAGCTACAAGAATTTAATTTTGCCCTTTTTAAAATCAAAGCAATACTAAAAGACCATAGACTCAGGAGCAATTATTTTACTGTATCATCACATTAAAATCTCTATTATCTAATTAAATATTAAGAAAGAGAAAAGGACAGAAAGACTCTACCTTATTATGCACTAATACTTGAGATTTATCGGGTAGTAAATTGACATCCACAGCAGATGGAGGAACAGTAATGTTGATAAAGAAAATCGGGAACAAGCGATTAAAATCCTTGTGCAATATCATGTTATAGTACTGTTGAACAAGCTAAAATATTCATAAAAAAGAATAGAGTTAACTCAGTATTTCTAACTTTGAATTAAATACAATGCCAAATTATTGCTAGAATCTAATGGATTATTTTTCATCAACAAAACTGTGTGGGGAATATTTCCTTTCCCCATTGTAACCTCTCATGTATAAAGCTGCTCAAGAGGACCTACAGGGGTAGAAAGTGCTACAGTACAAGTAGACCTGTGCTGCTGCAATGCTGGATTCCATACTATACCTGTCTGTTTACTTATATTCTTGAGCATACATATCAAGAATTATAGTCACATATCTGGGTTGAGGAAAGAATATCACATCCCTAATAGGAACAAGTCAGCTTTTATTAGGATTCAACTATATGAAATCGTTGCAACAGAACCTTATTGCTGATAAAGTGACACACTACAAGAATGTAACAATATTTCACCTAATATGTTCTAAATGCACAATGCTGACTCAGTAGTTCCATGTGTTAAGAAAGGCAAATTATTGCACATTAGTAATTAGTGAGGAACAGACTGTATTTAAAAAGTTATTTGCACTGTATGAATGTGGGAACTCTTAATTTTATCTTAGGTTAAAGAGAAGGAGGAGGAGGAGGAACTAGGTAACTAATTTCAACAATTAAGAGTTGCCATCTCTATCCCACGCTACAGTGGAATTCAATTCTGAAACTGAAGAGAATTTCAAAACTTGTGATACAGGTTTGACGTTCTAATGTACACAGTTAAAACCTGAGTTCAAGTTTGCTATAGCTAACATTTGATCTAGACAAAATTTTGTAAATCACAGAAATAGGACTGAAAAGGCAGTACCTTGAGAATTTCCTTTTGATACACTGGTCGGCTATTTATAAAAATGAAACTTCTTTCTGAGCTTGAATGACCTGTCAAACATCTATCTGAATCAGGCTTTGGAACAAAGCCACTGAAAGATATCTATAATGATAATAAATATATTGTAAAATGATCATTCAATAACAGTGAACCATGTAACAACCCTTCTATGAATTATAAGGAAAGTCAGATTAGAAAACAAAAATTACTACAGATTTTGGTTACAGCTACTTCAAATAGTTTCTATAGCACGTTTCTTGAAATAAAATCAAAGCAACTTTGGTAAATGTGATAAATTGGTAAAATTAAAAAGCCATATAGACTTTTTTCAAGTATTTCCCATGTTATTTTTTGCTTTTCACTATTACTTATAAATCATAGAATCAAAGGATTGGAAGGGACCTTGGAGGGACCTAGTCCAACCATGCCAACTTTAGTTTCATTTGATCTCTTACCTATTCAACAATAAACTTGTTTTGGCTCACTTCCATTTCAGTTTCCTTTTTAAAAACAACAACAAAATAAGCCTTTTCTGTGCATTATTTCAAATACGCATATTTATATGTAGTTTTCTAAATATATCTATACACACACACATGCATGCATGCATGTATGTATGTGTGATAAATTTCTCAAGTTATATATATTTAATATATTGTACTTTTACAGTGTTAAGAATAAATACACACTTACATACCCATCACCCTATTCTCTTGGGATAAGCTATGTTATGCAAAGCAAAAAAAAAAAAAAAAAAGCTTGGGGGGTAGCCAATGGTACATGAAATATTGTCCATGGAAGAAAGAATGGATTCAACTAAATATCAACATCTCCTAGAACCTAATGTCCCAGAGTCAATGAAGAAACTGAAGCTGGAAAAAAAGATTATTTCAGCAATGCAAGAATCTGAAATATATCTCCAAACCATGAAGAATTTACAGGAAAGAAAGATAAAACATTTTGGAATGACTGCCATAGTCCCCGGACTTGATTATTAGTAAAAATCTACAAGGAGGTTTTCAATATGCAGTGCATGCAAGGAGATCCTAAGAATATTTCTGAGCTATAAAAATTCTGCAAGGAAGTATGAAGAAATAATTCAAAGCAGAACAGAAAAAAGCTGCTAAAGGCAACATTTGGAAGCTGTTATTTATACCAAAGGTGGTATTAACGAGTACTGAGTGAAACAGTGTCCAAACTTCTGCATCTGCCACATTTAATGTTTTATTTTGAAACTGTAAACAAATGCACATAGTTAGTATGCATTGAAATTTGCAGAAAGATGTGTTTGCACCATGTAGAGGTTTGTGTCAGCTTCTGATCACAAAAATATGCAATTTGACCTGGAGTGTCTAAACTTTTGCATACAGCGATAACTTCAAAACTGACTACTTTAACTATTTTATTCTAATACTATCTTTTTGCCAGGTGTTCAAGGCAGCATGTATTGGGATCCCATGTTGTCCCCAGAATATAAGTTTTATGAGGTAGGTTGTGTGGAGAGGGGGTTATTGGCTGAAACTCACCCAATCAGCTGGGGGTAGACTTGATTATAAGACTCCCAGTTCTAGTCTAACACGTCAACTGGTTGACTTCAGACACATAAATGAGATTTAGGGATTTATGGGTCTCCTGCAGGAAGAATGACTGTTTCCCACTAAGTAGTTTCTTCACTACTTTGCCTAGCAAAGATTTACTGTCTTTTGCACTATTTTTTTTTAAATATGTACTGTATTATATCTACCACCCAGTTCTAAATGGTCCTATTGATTTCAAGAGAATTAAAGTAAAGGTAATTAATTAATTAATTAATTTTACTTTTTACACCATCAGCTATCAAAATGTCCCAGTAATTATTTTAAAAATAAGTTGGAATTCTTCACCTGTTAAAAGCTTATTGAAAAAATGTGTCTCTCTCTTAAGGCCCTTTTGAAAACTAGCAGAGAAGTCAGACTTCTAAACACTGTATGGAGTACAGTGCAAAGGCTTTGGAAAAGGCTTAGCTGCTAGACTTCTGGGGGAGGTATGGCGAACTAAAGACAGCTCTGTGAAAGCGGAGCCGATGACCACAGCAAAGACCAAGGAACCAGTGACTAGACTGGTTCCTTGGGAAAGGATGGGAGACTGCCCACGTGCTCTAGACGGCTGCTCCTTGTGAGGAGACAGCAGGACAGCAGTTTCCCATGGGTTTGAGTGCCGGAATCATATATTAGAAAGCATTCCTTCAGGTGACCCAGGTTCAAGATGTTTAGGAACTTAAAAATAATACACCACAGCACACGTGGAAAAAATAAAGACAATCCGGTCTTTGGGATTGTTCTGCTAGATTCTTTGGGGGATTTTTGATTAGTATGTTTCAAGCTTTTCAGTCAATTTATTGAATTATGGATGTTTTAATGTTTATATTATTGTGAAACCATCACTCAAGCAAAGAAAGCATGTTTTAAATGACAACAAATTTAAATAATATTATGTTAAAGTAACATTGGGAAGAAATAATTTATGTAAAGGTTTAGAAACTTACCTCCAGATCTTCACATTGCTGCTGAAAAGGTACCATGTTCTTTATAACAGCAGGCCCCACTACTTCCATGAAAGCCATTTTATGATCCAGTACCCTGGTCTTCTGCCATATGATTGTCTGAAAGCCAAATTTATAACATTAAATTGAAATGTAGATAATAAGAACAAGACCTACTCACAAACATGGATACAGAATGGCATGCTTGTCCTGGATTTTTAACATTCTGTTCCTAACATGTACTTTCTTATGAGTACAGCATACACTGTTGGTCCTTCTGTACATATTGCTGTAGCAACCAGGCTGTTTCTCTTGAGTTTCTTACCTGTTTGTTGTCTAGTAACAGATTTTTAACCACTGGGAGGTCTACAAATGTACAATTGTATAACCCTTAAAAACAGCCACAATAATGTTAGTTTCTTGATTCACAAGTACCATCGGTGTGACTTGATAAAGAGTTTAGTCAGCACATTCACTACTTTTTGAAAAGAGAAATTAATGAAACTGGAAACTGAATACCAGAAAATGAATATGACATAACAATATTTAAAACCCCAACAGCTGAATGCTAGTATTTTGCATACCTTGAAATGCATGCAGATAGAAATCTTACACAATGCTAGTAATTGAATTACTACATAATCAGTCATTTTCAAATTAAGATAAATTTTAGTGTAATAGTCCAGAAACAAAATTTATACCCAATTCTACCTCATTAAGAAATTGATAGAGATGAAATTCATGTTCACTTCATAATAAACCAAGTTTACAATGCATAAAATACAGAAAAGCTTTATAGTATTTGTTTAAAGCATGTCATTTAACTTACAATCTGTAAAAACAAAATTTCTTGCTGAGATTTACTGTAAAAAAGGTTTTGATCATCTTTATAAAAGTATTGTCAAACAGATACAATAGCACAAAATAGTCAAAGTTAATGGAATTGCATACTCACTGCTTTCCATTTTTTCTTCACTTTAGTATTTATTATAATCCTTATATGGGAATAAAGAAAAATAAAGTGGCATTTGGCAGTTTTTGTACAAATCTGAATGAAATTTACATAGGACACCTTAAGCAACCTATGTCAAATAACCTGTTGCCATAAAGATCAGAAGAAAACAAAATGACTTTAATCAAGGTAAGTTATTGTTGTGTGTTCTATTTGCAACACACAAATTCATTGTATCAATTCATTATTGGTAAAAAATATTCATATGCAGAAGAAACATTTACATTCCTTTCACACAGAAATTCTCAATTTTAATGTCTTTGGAATGGTACAGCAGTAGTAGTACATGCATACAAATCCAATGGATCTACTTTTCAATCTATAGAGATTAGTTTTATTAATTAATTAAACATATTTATACAGCCGCCCATCTCACACAAGGTGACTCTGGGCAGTGTACAACAATTAAAAAAATACATAAAAACAACTACATATAAAAAACTGTAAAAACACACAGAACAGGAAGGGATAAAGTAAGGGAGCCATTGTAAAATCTCCCCAGTCCCCTGGGAGCCCCAGGCCTGATCACATAGCCAGGTCTTGAAGGACTTGCGGAATGTTAAGAGGGATGGAGCTAATCTCACTTCCGGGGGGAGAAGATTCCACAAGGCAGGCGCCACAGCAGAGAAGGCCTGCCAACCGGGAACCGCCAAATGTAATTCTCTAGCAGACGGGATCCACAGCATGCCTTCTCTGCCAGATCTACGGGCAGATGTAATCGGGGAGAGACAATCCCTCAAGTAACCTGGCCCCATGCCATGAAGCTTTAAAGGTCAAAACCAGCACCTTGAATTGGACCCGGAAGCAAACTCGCAACCAGTGCAGCTTGCAAAGCAGAGGTGTAATGTCTACCACCCTAGGGGCACACATAACAGCCTGCACTGCTGCATTTTGCACCAGTTGAAGCTTCCGGATACTCTTCAAGGGGAGCCTCATGTAGAGCACATTACAAAAATCCAAATGGGAGGGTCCAAGGGCATGAGTGAGTGATTAGGTCCCTCTGATCTAGGAATGGGCGCAACTGGCGCACAACACGAAGCTGTGCAAAGGCCCTCCTAGCCACGACTGCCACCTGCTCTTCAAGCAGGAGTCATGAGTCCAGGAGGCCCCCAGACTGTGCACCAGGTCTGCCTGGGGCAGTGCAACCCCATTCAGTACCAAAGATGGCATAGCCCTAGCACCAGAAGGCCCCAGAACCCA